TGCCCAGTGCTTCTGTCATCAGAGTCAACATCCTGCTTTACAGCTTGTGCTGTGAAGTTTCAGGAGGGCTTCCCCATCTGAAGGCACTGTGTCTCAGCTTCTGGTGGCTTCACACTGTCACCATCACAACTCACTCAGACCCTCTTCTGTGCAGCAGTGGGTAGGAATCCACGCTTACATTCTTCCACACACTGAGGCCCCCAGAAAGGACTCTGGCTTTGTCTTGTCCAGGATGCCACCAGCCCGATGGTACTGAGTCCTCACCCTGGCATGAACTTGTCCCTGGCCTCTTCAGTGCATTTCATGGGTCAGCCTGGCCTGCAGAGACCCACTGAGGCATGCTTTGGCTCTGGAGCATACTGAGCACAGTACCACAGGACAGTGTAATCACAGTGCACATCCCAGTGGGGCCACAACACCCTGGTCCCCACAGCTGGTCACAAGCCCACTGCCTCTGCTGCTTCCTGGGGGGTCATGTGGGTGTTGGGGGTGGTGCCAGAGACTGAACCCAAGCCCTTTTCCCTGACTACACCCCCCCCTTTTTTTTTTCTTTAGAGACAGAAGTCACTAAGTTGCTCAAAGGCCTGCCTGGCCCCCAGCTTTCAGTTCTCCTGCCTCAGCCTCCGGGAATGCGGAGGTCACAGGCATGCACACCACTCCTGTAGCTCCGCCTCTGCTTCTTTCTGTGAATGGCTCTACTCACAATTGAGTAAATTTATTGAATTCTTCAAAATGCCCATCTTGGCTCAGTGGAATAAGCGCTTCCCTGGCAAGTGCAAGGGCCTGAGTTCAATCCCCGGTTCCGCAAAAAAAAAAAAAAAAAAAAAAAAGTATAAAAGTGTTTCCTTTGGGGGCCTGCTGATTAGCTCAGGTGCTTAAGTGCCTGCTGCAACAAAATGCCCAACTGGAATTTTTATTGATGTTACACTAGCTTTATAAAATCATTTGAGGGAGAATGAAGACTTTGATAGCAAGTTACCCATTCCAGGATTATCTAATTTTTACACTTTAAAGGTTTACATAAGAACTGTTTACTTGCTTAAATTGGCTCTTAGATAATATCTTTTATTACCATTAGGGGTGGCATTTTCTGTTTCTAGTTCATAGTGATGCTTGTTAGGAGTCAAACTATGGGAACTGGGAACTAAGTTCCAGTACTTCAGAATGTGACCGTATTTGGAGGCAGCCTTCTGGAAGTCAGTCAAGATGGCATGGGTGGGGTGTGCCCTAATCCAACATGACTGGTGACCTGACAAGAGACTGGGACACCATGTTATGACATGAGCACAAGAAGGGCGTCCACAAGCCCTGGAGAGGGCTCAGAAGCCAGATGTGCCCTCACCCTCCAGTTGGACCGCACCTCCAGGCCTGGGAGGGGCAGCAGAACCTGGGGTGCTTTGTCATGGGTGCCTGGGAAGTCACACCCTCATCTTGGCTTTGGAACATTCATCTCATGTCCAGGGTTCTTGCTTGAGCTTGAACTTGTGTCTCCCTGAACTCGGTTAGGACTCAAGAGCCATGGGCTCCTCCTTGGAGCTCCCTTTCACCATCAGATACCCAGAGAAGGCACAGGGGAGGCACATGAAGAGGATCAGAATCAAGAAATTACTGGAAAGACCCTTGAATATGCCCACCCCACCCCGCAGACAGCCCTGGTGTCCTCAACAGGCAGTTTCCCTCCCTGGCTGGCTGCGAAGCACTGAATACACCCGGTACCTTTTGCATTTACATCGATGGCTCCCTCTTGTACAGAAACACTGTTTTTAATGTGTTACTATCATGCACTGAATTACTATAATAGCTGCTAAAGCCAGGAGGCTGGGAACAACTTTGTCTCCTTTATTTCAGTAAAGGTAATGGCCCAACATGGAGGCCCAACTTCCAGGCCATGCGGTCACTCCCAAAGGCAGCTGAGTTCTGTGCATGGTAGGTTAGGAGAGACTTGTCAACCTGAATCACCATGTTTTAAAGAACATTAATTTTAAAAGCTTTCCTTGAGGGCTGGCGAGATGGCTCAGTGGTCTAAAGCACCTACTTGGAACAAGCTTGGCAGAGCACAAGGACCACGGTTCAATCCCCCAGCACCACATGCCAGCCAGCTCCGCCCCCTGGTGGGCTGAGCTGGCCACACACACACACACACACACACACACACACACACACTAAATAAATGTTTAAAAAAAATTTAAAAATAAAAGCTTTCCTTGATATAAAAATCACCTCAAAATTCTCCCACGTCTCTAGTGGCTTACACCCACACTTTAATGAATGAGACAGAACTGATTAGTTAGGCTTGATATTATATTGCCTCCCCAGAAAAGGGAGGGGACAGAAAGGGGGTGGGAGGGAAGAGGGGAAAGGAAGGGTGAGAGGATGGGGGGAGGAGAAAAAAAGAAAAAGAAGCCAACATTGACTAGACTCAATGAAAAAGCTTCCTGGGGTCACGGTCACACATACTGCAGGACAGAACAGTGCCCCTACCATGACAGGTGCTCCCTGGCTGACCTCTTGTAACTACAGAGGGGACCTTGCCAAGATGCAGGCAGGAGAGGACTTCCTGAGGAGGCAGCAAGCCAACTTTAACCAGCACAAATCCTTCTTCCTTCTCTCATGTGTGCCAGTGCCACCATCCTATTCCTGAGCCCAGAGGCTAAAAACAAACACATCTAGCATTTTTTTAAATGGCTTTATTAAAGGCTATTAGTATAAAATACAACCAAGTTATAAGTCAATCAGTAAGAATGTAGTTTTTGAAAACATGTATCAAAGAGAGGGAGGTGCAAGGAAACACTAGGGGCCTCTGGCACCCAAGGCTGTGCCTGGCCAGGGACAGGCCTGCTGCTCCCGCTGGGCAGACCAGCTCAGCCCTGGGGCCAGGGGCGGGCCCAGTGCTGCCCAGAGCTGCTTGCGAATCCCTGGGGGAGTGGCTGTGGGATGCAGCCATGGGGCAAGAGTGAATCCTGAGCTGAGTCCCAGGGGCTGACTCCAGGTGGGGAGGGTCCAAAATCAGCCGAGAAATGTGTATTCTTAAAAAAATAAATACAAACTCCTGGTTTTAGAAATGCCACTTTGATGTATGGCAGAGAGGACATACGACAAATGTAGAACCTGATTTCTCTGGACACTGGCACAGATTCCCCAGAAGAGAAAGAAGCCAACTCTGCTTGGACTTTGTCCTGGGTTGAAGGGTGATCTGCAGGTCAGGTACAACAGGGACTCTCGCTTCCAATAAGACAGCAAACGAGTAGGGCTCTTCAACTTACTTGCCTTACAGAGCCTGCACCCTTACGCATCACCACCATTTGAGAACAAATCCTGTGGGTGCTGAGCCCAGAAGGCACCAAGCACACAGCAACTTTCAACGGCCCCATCCATACCTCTCAGGTCTCAGGCTAACGTGACGGGGACACAGAGCAATGAGAAGGTGGGCAGGAAATAACTTCTGCCGAAGAGCAAACAGAGTGCCCTGAGCAACAGTACTGTCCTCGCAGTAGCACACGGACTTCCAGAAGGAATCCTAGCTATGAGGCTTCTCGATTAGTGGCTGCCCTGGGGGTGGAAGCGCAGGAAGTGGCACTTGTGGCTCTAGGATGGTGCTGTATTCCAGGATGATGGCCCCCACCGGGCTGAGCCAGCTGGAACGCCCACACTCTCGCTCCCCTCACCATCATGTGGGAAGCCTCTCTCTTGCATGATGGTTCAGAGAAAAACTTCCCTGCAATACAGGAGAGTAAGCCCAACCTTGAGGAGCCAATGAGGTTCAGGGACATGAAGCAGCCGGCAGGAGTCAAATCTATGCTGGCAAAGCCACGGCATGGCAGACACTTTCCTTAAGGTGGGGATGGGGAGTTTCCAAGTATTTCACCTTGGAGCCAGAGAAAATATTCTGGAAACCACTTTGGAAGGTCTGCAGACATCAGCAAGACCCGCGACCCTTTGGTACTGAAACCCCATTTGCTGGCAGAGCCCACTGGGACTAAGGCTCCAGGTAAAGAAGTGGCAGTGTTGGAGACGGCACCACGCTGCCCAGGGCTTGCAGCTGCTGCCTCCTGCAGGTCCCCCGAGTTCAGAGCTACTGGGCAGGACACAGAGAGGACCATACGTGGAGGAGCCCACTGTGGAGACAGCACAGAATCCAGGAGACATGGCTGGGCTTCGGAGATGCCCCTTCCACTTCTGCAACCCATCAGGGTTGGCAGGTTGGGTTCACCAGGATGTGGCCTAAGCAGTTCTTGGGATGAAGGACAGCCATGGCCCCATCCTGCACAGGACACTGAGAGGCCCTGCACTCCAGCACTGCTCCCACCCACCCTAGCACCTGTAGTTCCCAGTACAGGGACAACGAGCAGATGCCAGGCAACAGGAGCTCCTGGAAGGAAGCAGGTACAAAACCTAGAGAAATGCTTGCCTGTGGAGCTACATCTAGATATAAAACAATGAGAAACTGATACAAAGCTTCTAAACATGTAATTCCTCTTAAACAATGATCAATACTTTGAATAGTCATGGGGCAACTCAGAGACAATGTCTGCCATGTGCCACCGGGATGCTTCCTGGAAGTGACATGAGGGTGTCAGGTGGCACACAGCACAAGACTTGGCTTCAGCATGAATCTTTCTACAGCAACAGCCCACAGCTGACGACACCACCGAGGTCACCCACAGAGCAGAGGAGGATGACAGAATCAGGCAGTACTTCTGTGATGTGGTGAGAAAGTTCCCTGTGGGGAGGGGGAACTGGTGGAGCTGGGAACAAAAGTTTTATTTACAAGATTTACGAATTCTTAATAGTCCTTAAAAATTCCAAATGTAGAATTTCTATTATCAAATCACTGAAAATAGTGTATGCATCTGGTTTTACCAAAAAAGGGAAAAATCTGGTAACATTTACCAGTTTCCAAAAGATTAAGAAAAAAAAGTAGAGAAACCAGGCAAATAGACAAGGCAACATCATCTTCTTATCCTCCTGTAGCACAGCACTGTTCGGGATTCTTGGCAGCATTTTTTTTTTCCTAACATAGTTTACCAGTTGTCCAGAAAATCAAATCCTGTCTTCAAGACAACATTACTTGAGCTGACCTGTGGAGGGACAAAACACAGAAGTAAGACACAAACTTCCTTTTCAGTTAGGCAGCATCTAAAAACAGCATCTCATTTGAAATGACCCAAATGAAGTAACTGGCTTCCCTCACAGGGACCTCTGACCTCGATTTACCTCAGTGCTGTAGAACAGAAAATGGCGTCAAATTTGATTCAAGCTACCCAGTCATGACCTCGAAGCACATCTACATAACCTGCAGCTCCTCACAGGGCGAGGAAAGAACAGCGTTTCTCTACTCCTAGGGATCTTTCTGTTTCTGAATGACATTATAAAGTGAGAACAAGCTAGAGAAGTGCTCTAATAGAAAATAAACTGAGGGGCCAGGTGGACGGCTCAGTGGAATAAGTGCTTCCCTGGCAAGCACAAGGGCCTGAATTCAATCCCCGGTTTCGCAAAAATAAATAAATAAATAAATAAATAAATAAATAAACTGTTTTGTTTTCTACACACATACAAAGAGGACACAACAAAAAAGGCAATAACTTTGCACAGCTGAGCAACTGGAATTTAAAAAGGGTGAAAAGCTCACATCTTCCCGAACACAGAGAAAGTACAGAGCGATTTCCTAGGCCCTGAGGAATCACTGACACTCCTGTGTCAAGGGAAACGAGAGTGACTTTGAGGGCTGTGGGTGCACATGGAGTGTTGTACAAAGTGACTAGACTATCAAATTCTAGACAGACAATAGCTTGGTGGCAGTCCAGAGCTGGGGAGAAGGCACAAAGTGTTTAGTGGGGACAGAGCTTTGGTTGTGTTTTGCTTTCTTTTGCCTACTCTGTGCTACAGGCAGAAGCCAGGGCCTCCCACATGCTAAGCACAAGCTCTGAGCTGCACACCAGCCTGAGTTTCAGTCCTGGAGACGGAAGGCACAAAGGTTGGACAATACTGAGAATGTACTTAATACTGCTGAACCCACACTTAGTAAGGGTTAAAATGATATTTTTCTTTCTTTCTTTCTTTCTTTTCTTTTTTTTGGTGGAACGGGGGATTGAACTCAGGCCCTTGCGCTTGCCAGGGAAGCACTTATTCCACTGAGCGATCTCACCGGCCCCTAAAATGATAAACTTTATGTTACATGTATTTTATCAAAATTTTAAAAATGTTTTGAATATATACATATATATAAAAGCCAGGTGTGGTGGTACATGCCCATAATCCTGCACTTGGGAGGCTGAGGCAGGAGAATCATTGTGAGTTCAAGACCAGCCTGGGCTACAAACTGAGCTCTGGGCCAGCCTGAGCTGCATAGTGAGACCCTGTTTCAAAAAGAAAAAAAAAAAAAAAAAAAAAAGTGCACACAGATAGCCAAGAGTCCCAAGGCCAGGGGCCTGGTGATATCATGAGCCTGCAAGGAGCCGGGGGCCCTTGGGCACATGCAGGGACATAGTCAGAGCTCTCACCGCACCACCAGGAGCTCTGGGCTCTAGCGCACAACCTGACCGAAGATAGGCTATCAGCTGCGCAGGCAGCTCTCACGGCACAGGGCCCTCTACAGGGCAGAGATCACAGAGCACAGAAGCGCTGACAGTGTCTGAAGGATGTCTCCCACAGCACCATATGGTCCTATCTCAGGCCATCACTGAGATAGGTGCCACTCCCTGGGGCCGAGGGCCCTTGTGTCCTCCTCAGGCCTTGCTCTTCAGAGGGCTACTTCTCATCTTCCTTCTTTCCTCTTGAGGGAGCCTTCCAGAAAGGCTGGAGGCAGACTGGACATCACTGGCCCAGGCCACACCAAGCCATGGGTGTGGGCAGAGCCTTGTCATGGCCTCGTAGAAGAAATGCTCTCAGATATGGACTGTGTTTTCCACACAGTGCCGCCTCCAAGTGAGGCCTCCCTGAAGACAACAACTACCCTGTTTTTAGTTCTGTATAATTTGCCAACTCAGAGCCACTTAAAGTTATGAACAAATGTTCTGTTTTCTCTTTGCTGTCTCCATGTCCTAAGTGACAAATTGCTGGGTGAGGATGACAGCCACTGCTGTCACCAAGAGCTCGGAGGTCATTCAGAAGCCAGTGACTGTTCATTCTCTGTGACCACCCACCTCACCCAGAGGACCCAACCCTTCCTCCAATATCCCAAACATCCCAGAAAGGAGCTCCTTTCTCTGAAGCCCATCATGCCCGAAGAGGAACAATGTCCTCTCAAGCAGAATTGTGGTGGCTGAGCTCTGGGGTCCCACCTGTGACCCTGAACCTCAGAACACCTGTGGGACCCTCCCCACTAAAAGCCCCCACACCAATTACCATCTCCCCGTAACCCTCTCACAGCTCATACCATGTAACAGGGCAGTGGCCATGTAACCTGAGATGAGCTAGGCCTGCCACCAGCCCAAGTCCTCTGAGGACAACAGAGCGAACAAAGGAGAGTGGGGAGAAGACAGTGTGACACCAGTTGTGGGCCCACCCCTGGAAATCCCCTTAGCTGCCCCAGCCCACGTCCCTGCCTGACACAGCCATGATGCTTAACTCTCACCTGTGCAGGCTTGGGCTCCAGGAATAGCACATCATCCTCATCCTCATCATCCTGCATAGTGTCTGGAGACAACTGTTTCCCTGGTAGCTCACAGGGGGTGACCTCAGGTAACACATTGGTGGGGCCCTGGATGGGCTGGGGTCTCTCACACTCTGTGCTTGTGCTGGGAAGGACTCGCTGCTCCTGGCGCAAGGCCTTGGCCTCCCGGTCCTTCAGGCCGGGATCCTGCCGGTAACAGGTAGGCAGCACCTTCTCCCCCTTCTCCATGGACTTGATCTGGCTGGGGGTCAACGACTGGAACTCAGCCTCGGGCCCCTCCCGGGACCGCTCAGCATTGATCTTCCAGAAGGATGCCTCCTCTTCCTTCCGGGCTGGACCCAGGGCATCCAGGCTGGAGGACCTGCTGCCCTGTGAGGTTTTGGGCAATGGCCTTGGCTCACTGGTGGCTGTACCATTGCTCTGTTCCTGGATGGATAAGGAGGCAATGCTAAACTCCATCTGGCTCTGTGATGGGGTGGGGAAGGAGAGAAAAGCGAAAGCAAGCCTTAGGACCCACTGGGACAGGCAGACCAGCTCACACGCGACTTCCAGCTGTGCCGACAGCCCAACCTGAGCCATTACTGGAACTTCCTGTCTGTCCTGAGTGGCTGTTTTCAGGATGGCCTTGGATCACCTGAAACCAACCTGAGGCCGCACAGGTGGGAGCTACTCTGAGCCCTCAACCAAGCAAAGCCACCAGGGTGGCCTCATGTGGACTCCATGGAGCCACAGCTTCCCAGCCTTGCAAAAAAGGCTGCCTGCATTCCAGTCACTTCTGATGTCAACATATTATTGTTGTTATTATTATTATTTTACTTTTCATAATCTTTAATGAAATTGAAAGGGAAGCAATACTCCCAAATTTATTCCTGGAAGCAACCATTACCCTGCTACCAACACTGGAGAATGATGTCACCGCATCATGAATCTCCCTTTTATTCCCTCAGGCCCTCTCATGCTTCATAAAAAAATGAATCAATAAAAGTAATTAGAACGACATTACAGAAAATTGGGAAAGTAGAAAAGAAGACTATTCAGCCATCCTCCCTCCCCGTCACAAGCGACCCTGGGCTCAGGTGTCCAGAGAGGTGGTCCCCCCAGGCCTGCACCTGTGGGTGCCGCTGTCCACTTGCTCATGAGCCTCACCCTGTGGGGCTCAGTCTTCACAGCCGGCATTTTAATGGCCACAAACGACTCACTCTGCATTGTCCCCCCACCTACTGCACCATCTTCTTACTCTCAGTTTTCCTGCTAATTCTTTTGCTAAAATCAGAGCTGCCAGGAACATCTGTGTGCCAGGAGCACACAGCTCTCCTGCATTCTGGGTTAATTTCTTCAGAGGAATTCCCAGAAATAACACATCAAAATACAAAAGCGTAAGCCTCCCTTTGTGTGATTTCAGATGCATAGTCTCAAACTGAGTCGAGGTGCTTGCTAGTGGCTGCCTGTCTCCCACTACTCACCCACCACCGTACGCCATACATACAGTAGCATTCGGAGTCCCTGAGCATAACTCAACCCTGTCTGTGCTAACTTAACATACAGAACATGGGTCTCCTACATGTTCTGGGTCTTCTATATGTTCCAGGTCTTCTATTCAGTCCCTCACTCAGAAAATGGTAGGCTTGGTTCTTTATGAGCCTTCTCCCTCAACCCCCCACCCCCACCCCCAAAAGAGACAGACTGAGCTGCCTTCCGCTGTGAGCCACGGGCCTGGGACCACAGGCTGCAGCTGCCCATCCCTGGGTCCGAGCTCCCCGCACACACCAGCTGCTGAGTGCCAGAAGTTGCCCTCCAGGCTCCAAAGCTGAGCAGATGAGGCCACCAACACTAAGAGCTCAAATTCAAACCAGGTGTCCAAGCTGCCTGGCAGCTCGGGCATTAGGAAATGAAACCCAAACAGGCTAGCAAAGCCTCAGAGATACCAGGAGCAGTCATTAAAGACAAGCGTACGTGACCGAGTCTGATATACTACACGTGCAGGCTTCTCTATTGGCCTTGTTTTGTGTGATACTAGAGCCTGATCCCAGGGCCTTTGCATTAAGCTATGTCCCCTTTTTAAAACAAATTTTTTTTTTTTTAAATTTTGAGATATTTTCTAAATTGCCCAGGTTGGTCTCTTTGGCAATCTTCTTGTCTCAGTCCCTCCGAGAACTGGGATTACAGCTATGGGCCACTATGCCCTATTCAGATGTGTAATTTTTAAATTACTTTCATTCAGAAATAAGAAAATGGATGTCTGAAGTGATCAGATCACCCTAGGCCACAGGTTGGTTAAGAGATGCTGCAGCTGGGATTCTGGCCTGGACTGGGCGACCCTGTGGTATGGCTACGTGGACAAGCAGCCCCAGCTGTAAAGGACAAAGCCTTGCACGGGGCACCCAGCACATGTGTCCATGAACTGACTTGGTTTTTAAAGGAATGCTTCTGAGTGAAGTATTTTTAACACTCTGCATATTTCCAAATCCCAACACAGAAGACGGATACTGTGGGCAAAGGAATGACAGCCACTTTAAGTAAGCAAATCACCAAAAACAGCTGGGCAGTGGTCCAAGACCCAGGGCCAGAGCTGACTTTGGTCTGGAAATTAGAGTGTAAGGTCTCAGGAAAGGTCACTTTGTCAAACCCCAGACTGTTTTAGACTCAGCAATTTCTCCAGTGGGATCCCTGCTTAGAAGTCTGTGAAGGGTGAGGCAGGATGTGCTGCTAGCGTGGTGGGGCTGGGAAGGGAGTCCCTCACAGTGGAGCCCAACACCTGGCTCGGGGTGACATCCTTCAGTGGTAACAGATACTCCCAGCCCTTTGTTGGTGAGTGGAGGCCTCGGGACAGTGCCTCAGGGGACGGTGTCCTCGGGAAGGGGAGTCCATGTTGGAAGGAGCAACTAGCCGCCCATTTTAAGGTCTTTAGAGATGACAATGAGTGGAAACAAAAACTTAAAGAAGAAAAAAATTCTAATATATTTGGCTCTTTTTCTCTATGTTCTTAATTTTGCAAATGAAATATTGTTACAGTATCCTTTAAAAAAGACCTCCGAGCCAGGTGTGATGGCTCATGCCTGTAATCCTAGTACTTGGGAGGCCAACCTGGGCCACATGGTGAGACCCTATCTCAGAAAGAAAGAAAGAGAGAGAGAGAGAGAGAGAGAGAGAGAGAGAGAGAGAGAGAGAGAGACTGGTGAGATGGCTCAGTGGTCTAAAGCACCTACTTAGAACAAGCTTAGCAAAGCACAGGGACCACAGTTCAATCCCCCAGCACCACATG